TGCTGCATTGTAAATTTTGGTCAATGACATGAGACAAAGTATATGTGAACTGCTGTATGAAAAGTGAATTTACTCTGTAAATCTTCACCGAAATCCTAATTAAAAAAAAAGAAAAATTTTTAACAGAAATAATCCAGATAGGTTGAAATATTACCTGCATCTCAAAAACATAATGCCTAAACCCAACTTTTTACTTCTGTGCATTTAATTTAAGAAGTTACCCAATCTCATCAAATTTTACTTAACAGAGTCTCTGAAAATCAATTCTTTCTTTCCATTCTCACTACCACCAACCTACTTCAAGCTTCTATTAACGTACCCCTGGAGTGTTACAACAGTCTCTCAATAATGAGTTGCAACCTTCCTAATACTGGCTGTGCAGACATAACCAGGATATTCTTTATCCTGGCATCTTTGCAGAATCTCTCAAAATATCAGAATGATGGTCCCTCTCTACCAGTCAAAATAATTAATACCAATAATCTTTTAATTATTTTCAGTAGTGTGCTCAAACATAGCAATGACTTTAAGAATGGTGCAGGACTGGGCAGTGTTTTGTACTGGTATACACAGGGTCACTATGTGTCAGAACCAACTCAACAGCACCTAACAACAGCAACATTTTGGGTAATACTAAAGTACTATGACCAACTTTTCATCTGAGTCTCAAGCTATAGCTTATAAGGGGTAATTCTGGCAGAGATCCACTAGAAGTGTAACTCAGACACAGGAATTAGTGAAAAGAGACCACAATGCAGCTGCAAAGTACTACAATGTGGTTCATGTGGCAAAATTCTGTAGTGGTTCCCCCAATATCAATGAGTCAACTAGCAGATACTTATTAATTTGGATGCAAGCTACTTGTACTTTAGTTGAGATAATAGTTTACAAAGTATCCTATGATGTTTCATAATACATCTTCCTGAACTAGATTTTAATATTGAAGTTTATCTCTTTTCATAATCTACTTCTTAAATATTATTTAAATGTAAATAATATTTAAATATTATTACTATGCCACTAAAACTCCCTAAATATTATTAGGGACTAATATTAGCTAAGGAGCTCTGGTAGCATAGTGCCTAAGGCATTTGACTGCTAACCAGAAGGCTGGCAGTTCAAACCCACCAGCCACTCCCT